TGAAGTCGTCGACAAGCACAAGGAAGTAGCGCTCGCGACGCGGCCCAGGGACGGGGGCGGGGCCCCAGACGTCTAGGTGCAGGGTCTGCAGCGGCGCGGCGGTAGGGGGGAACGAGGAGGAGTGAGGGGCACGGCGAAGCCGACCCTCGACACAAGGCGTGCAAGGTGGAGTTGGGGAGGAGGGAAACGCGGGGAGTGAACCTGGGAGACCAAGGACAAGACCGTGCTGGGACATGTGACGCAGACGCGGGAGCGCAGGGTGACCTAGGCGGTGGTGCCACAGGAGGGTCGGGTGAGTGAGGGAGCGACAGGAGCAGGCAGCAGCAACCTGGGTAGACACAGCCACCTGAGGGGGCGCTCCAGCCGGGGGGGGCACGGTGTCCAGAGTGAACAGGCCGGACACCGGGTCCCGGGGGAACGTGGACAGGGGGGCACCAGTGGCGGCCTCCGTACAGACAGCATACTGCTCGTGACCAGGGAACGTAGTGGTGACGCCAAGGTCCTGGAGGCAGCCGACACCAACTAGGTTCCTGGAGAACGAGGGGATATGCAGGCCTGTAAGAGAGCCCGAAGGAACCGCCGGACAGGGAAGGGTGGTGGAAATGCGGGCGACTACCGGACCGCCGGAGGGGTCAGCAAGAGAAACGGCAGCAGGAACAGGAAGCGGCGTCAGGGTGGTGGAGTCGCGGAAGAAACACCGAGAGGCGCCAGAGTCCAAGGTGAAGGAAAGCGAAGCCGAGGGGTCTGGCGACGGAACGACGGCAGAAGCACCAAGACTACACAAAGCAGAAGATCCTACGCCTGACGCAGCAGGGGAGGCTAAGCTAGGCACACCTACACTAGGCAACAGTGAGTAATAAGTCGGAAGCACACTAGGGTCATCAGCATACATCACATGCAGAGCAGAAACAATGGCATCCATGTCCATATCAAAGATCTGAATCTGACGACTAAGCAAACTGTGCCAGTCCGGGAGGTCTGGCGACGGGCCGAAACGCTGACGAAAGAGGTCGTCCAGCCGACGAAAGCAGCGGGGAGTGGAGTGACCGATCTTACCGCAAACGAAGCCGCGGCGAGGACCGGTCTGGATCTGGTACTGACAACGCCCGCCGGCAGAGCCACCACGCGGCACACCACCATGCGCCCGTCCACCGCCAGCGCCGGGCCACCCTGGCGGGAGAACACTCGTCTGCCGCGTCTGCGACGGCTGCTGCGGCTGCTGCGAAGGCTGCGACTGCGGCGGCTGCTGCGGCTGCTGCAACTGCAGGGGCGGCGACTCAGCTGGACTGGGCAGGGTCCCCTCGTCCGCTCCAGCACCAGGCGACCCGACCCCACCACTACCCCCGCCCGCACCCCCGCCGCCCCCTCCGCCGCGCCCAGCCTTGGGGCGGCGGCCCTTCCCAGAACGGGCCTGCGCTGCAGCAGCAGTCTCAGCCACTGCAGCAGAGCCGTCGAAGAAGGTACACTGAGCGGGGGCACAACCCTGAAAGATAGGGACCAGCACGACACCGCTCGCATGGGCGATGGAGCGGTGACGGGTCTCTATCACAGTCAGGGTGTCGACAAAGTCAGTGAGGGTGAGGTCTGCGGGGTGAACACTAAGGAAGCGGTCGCGGGCGACAGCAAGGCGGTCAGGGAGGCGGGTGGCAAGCAGGTAGAGGGTAGAGGTAATGGGCGGCTGGTGGGCTCTAAGCTGTGCGTCAGTGCAGGCGGCGCGCCAGGTCTCCTCTATCGAGCGCAGGTGGGCAGCGAGGTCAGAGACAGTGGGGAACGAAGCAAGGTCAGGAAAGAGCAGCGGGAGGATCAGGCGACCAACCGAGGCAGCCGGAGGGGTGGAATAGCGCTTGATGACAGCATCTAAGTATGCGTGAGCAGTAGTGAGGGACCTAAAGCGAGGACGCTCGGACGGGGGGAGGGCGTTGCTAATGGCAAGCTGGGCGACAGCATCGCGAGAAAGCCAGACAGAGCGCGCACGGGCAGTGGCAGCAGTAGACTCACGCTCAGTGGGTGTGGGGTCAGCGGGCAGAATAGCAGGAGGGTCTGGGCAGTGGAGCGTACCGTCAAGGTGTGCGGAAAGCGGTTCACCATCCTGCCGCTGGCCAGTGAGTTGGCGGCGGAGGTCGGCAAGCCACGCCTCGAACTCTAGGGGCTGACCTTCAGCATCGAAGCGAAGCTCCGCCGCCATCAGGAACAGTCCAGTGCTGTGCAGGGCGGTGCAGCTAGGTGGGGTGCGGTGCAGTGCGATACAGTGCGGTGCAGTGCGGTGCAGTGCGGTACAGTGCGGTACAGTGCGGTGCAGTGCGGTGCAGGGCGGCACGGAGCAGGGCGGGGTGGGGGGGGGGGGGGGGGGAGAACCATACCAGTGAGGAGGACGGGGCCGGGGCTGGCCCGACGGGGCCGGGCGGGCGCGACGGGGCCAGGCTGGTGCGACAGGGCCGGGACGGGGCGACGGGGCCGAGCGGGCGCGACGTGGCCGGGCTGGGGCGACGGGGCCGGGCGAGTGCGGACGGCGGCCGGGCTGGTGCGACGGGGCCGGGCGGCTGCGACGGGGCCGGGCAGGGTGCGACGGGGCCGGGCGGGTGCGACGGGGCCGGGCGGCTGCGACGGGACCAGGCAGGGTGCGACGGGGCCGGGCGGCCGCGACGGGGCCGGGCAGGGTGCGACGGCGCCGGGCGGGCGCGACGGGGCCGGGCGGCGGCGACGGCGCCGGGCGGGCGCGACGGGGCCGGGCGGCCGCGACGGGGTCGGGCGGGCGCGACGGCGCCGGGCGGGCGCGACGGAGCCGGGCGGCGGCGACGGGTACGACGCGGCCCAGGAGGGGCGCTACGGGGCCCAGGAGGGGCACGACGGGGGGCCCAGGAGAGGCGCTACGAAGCCCAGGAGGGGCGCGACGAGGCCCAGGAGGGGCGCTACGGGGCCTGGGAGGGGCGCGACGGGGCCTGGGAGGGGCGCGACGGGGCCCAGGAGGGGCGCTACAGGGCCCAAGGAGGGCGCGACGGGGCCCAGGAGGGGCGCTACGGGGCCCAGGAGGGGCGCGACGGGGCCCAGGAGGGGCACTACGGAGCCCAAAAGGGGCGCGACAGAGCCCAGGAGGGGCGCTACGGGGCCTGGAAGGAGCGCGACGGGGCCCAGGAGGGGCGCGACAGAGCCCAGGAGGGGCGCTACGAGGCCTGGGAGGAGTGCGACGGGGCCCAGGAGGGGCGTTAGGGGGCCTGGGAGGAGCGCGACGGGGCCTGGGAGGGGCGCGACGGGGCCTGGGAGGGCGTTACAGGGCCCAGGAGGGGCGCTACGAAGCCCAGGAGGGGCGCGACGAGGCCCAGGAGGGGCGCTACGGGGCCCAGGAGGGGCGCGACGGGGCGCTACGGGGCCTGGGAGGAGCGCGACGGGGCCCAGGAGGGGCGCTAGAGGGCTTGGGAGGGGCGCGACGGGGCCTGGGAGGGGCGCGACGGGGCCTGGGAGGGCGGTACAGGGCCCAGGAGGGGCGCTACGAATCCCAGGAGGGGCGCGACGAGGCCCAGGAGGGGCGCTACGGGGCCCAGGAGGGGCGCGACGGGGCGCTACGGGGCCTGGGAGGAGCGCGACGGGGCCCAGGAGGGGCGCTAGAGGGCCTGGGAGGGGCGCGATGGGGCCTGAGGGGGGCGCTACAGGGCCAGGGGGGGGGATGAGCGGAAGCGGTAGGTGGGGGGGGATCCTACCTACGCGTGATACCATATCAGAAATTAGAATTGAATGATAGTAAAGTGAGAGTACACACAAATATATCTAAGTTTTGTATCCTCTAAGAGGTGACTCTATGCAGTCTATACAAACATGACAAATACACATGTTTGACAGTAGTATCCCTACTGCCCGTTAGGTTTTCTGGGTAAATCAACAAGGTTTCGACGGCTATGATTGATTGCGATCGTTTCGACGTGTTTCGACCGTCGGATGGAGTTTCTTTGAAGAAGCTCGAGATTCTCAACAGTGGTGGCTTCACTACTACGAGATTCAGTTAGAGTGTGTGTAGTTTTGTTTATTTGTGTGCTTATCTAGAAGGGGGGAGAGTGTAAGGAATGAGTAATTCCTTACTGAGGCTTGCTACAGGGTGTACGACTCGAACAGTCCCAAACCAGAGATAGGGTTCCAGACCTTTCAGTTCGAGCCTCCTGGGCCTTTCCGGATCTCGCTTCGACACATCGAGGCCCTTCGATATCTTTCCCGAACCTTCCGATCCTACGTCCAGGAGCACCCTAGGCTCTCTATATATTGTATTGTCTTTCATTTTATTGTCATTCACTCGTTCACAGTTTCGCCATTCCCAATCCGCGCTACTCGGCAGTCCCATTCATAACACATAGAGTCTCGTCGTTTTGTGGGATCTTTTGAGGATATTGGCCGATTATTTGCTGTAGATGAAGCCTTGTAACCAAAGCCCGGCTCTGGTTGCCATCAATTCGTCTAGCAGTCATTTCGGATAGTGGGTTTCTTTCTTGTCCCCCTCACCTCGAGCTTCCCACACGGCAAATAAGGGCGTATCTAAAGTGGCTTTGGGTCGCGCTATGAGTAACACGTCGCGTAACAGGAACACTTTATGCACTGCCGTTTCATACACGCGAAACGAGAATGCGATCCGGTGTCCGTTATGACGAGACGAATTCCTGTGACTAGTTTCGTGAGAGGAACAGCGTAGTTTGTAAAACACACACATCTCTGGGGGAAATCGCAACTTCGTACACCACAGGACGCAAAAAAACTGCATTTTGGACAGAATGTCGGAAAATACACATTCTGGATTTCGTAACTTATACTGAACGTGTCTGTGCCATTACAGTTACAGAAGTCGAGATCCAACTTGTGCCGAAATCCTCGTGCGACACTTTGGAAATGCCCTAAGCAGCACGCCGGAAGGAATTACCCTACGGGTACACAGGAGGCCTGCCCGCCACCTCTGTCCTGTCAGGCAGGCAATGAACTAATGCCAGCTTTGTGTTACTCTTCTTTTTCGTCAGTTCCCGCCAATCCACACTTCAGACGTTTCGAATGATCCTCAAGCCGCATACCAACAGTTGACTTTCCTGGTTGTGTCTAGTCGAGTCGCCTCCTGAGATGGGGGCGTCTCTATTTTACTTCTCCAACATTTCAGAACTGAAGTTGGTGTCGCCGCCTAACTGGGGCGTGTAGGACATTACTTCTTCCGTGTTTTTTTTTTGTCCGGCGTTCGGTTACGCCTGACACGGTCCAGGGAGCGAAACGCGGGCGTGTGGTGCTCGGGAAATGAGCGATTACCTACGTGCGATGCCGCGTTAGCAACGTTGAGTCCCAATTCCTCGTCCCTGTTGGAACGGCGGCCGAGGTCCAGTCGGTGACGAATGTCGAGCTCGCAGCGCGACGGACACTTCCACGATATCGTTGCTGCGCGTCGTGGCCTCTCAGAGACGACTCAGAAGCCACCTCGTTTCCGAAGAACGATACCGGATTCCTCCAGAGGAAATAAAATCGCAATCTTGGTGTTGAGATGAGGATGTCCGATGCTGGTCGTGACGGAGGGGCAGGCGGAGAGGAACTTCAGACTGCCTCCCCTCTTCCTTCCTCACCTGACCCGCTTCCTTCTACTGAGCAACAACAGCAGCAGCAACCAGATGCCCCAGCAGCAGCAGCGGCAGCAGCAGCAGCAGCAGCAGCAGCAGCAGCAGCAGCAGCAGCAGCAGCAGCAGCAGCCGGAGCAGCAGCAACAGCCCTGGCGTCCGAACCTGCGGTTGGCTCGTCGACCGAGCCTAGACCGTCGAAGAGGCCGTCCAAACGCCAGGTGGTGGATCCGAAGCTTCAGCAGGAGATGGTGGCGCTGAAGCAGGCGCATCCCATCCTCACCAGCGCGCATATCGCGCGCGCTTTTGAGTCGACTCAAAAGCAGTCGAAGCGGCCGTCGAAGCGGCAGGTGATAGAGCCAAAGCTTCAGCAGGAGATCGCCGCTTTGAAGCAGGCGCACCCCGTCCTCACCAGCGCGCATATCGCACGCGCAGTCTCTAAACTATACGGCGTGCCGATCAAAGAGTCGCAGGTGGAGATGATTATCCTCCGATCCACTGTAGACCACCAGTTCGTTAAGAAAAACTGGACCAAGGGGAAGCGTACTCGTTATAAGAACGCACCGCTGGAGGAGGCGCTGGTGCGGTGGGTGCGGGAGACGAGGGAGAGGGCGGACTCCGACCCTGCGAATATAATCAAAGGGGTTAAAAGGCTATTTAAGACTAGGGAAATTCAGGAGTATGTGATGAAGTTAGGGCCGTCCTATGGCATACCGGCCACCTTTAAGTACAGCGTGGATTGGATTAGGAAGGTTCTACAAGAGAACGGCTTGAGTAGGAAAGGAGAGGAGATTAGTAGGACAGGAGGTGAAGGCTCGGGGAATGATGAAGGGTTGGACAGAGGCGGGAGCCCAGGCTCGGAAAAGCCTGAGCCAAAATGGGGTTACGGTCGGAGCGAGATTCCCTTTGAGATCCGGCTTCGGTACGAGATTGCTGTGGTTAAGCACGCACGGCCGCACTTAGAGAATAAGGTGATTGCCGCTGCTATTAGGGCTAAGTACGGAGTGGAAATGACCCCGAGGGAGATTAGGAAGGTAGGGGAGGAGAGTGATAAGTGGTTCAGGCTGGCTGCTGGGGCCGTGGCTGATCCGGAGCAATCCAGAATGGAGGAGGCTTTAGCGGAGTGGGTGATTAAAGAGGAGGAGACTGAAAAGAGAGAGGTTACACGGGAGGAGATTATAGCGAAGGCGAAGGAGATCGGGCCGGGGTTTCGACTGAGGAGGGAGTTTAGGTACGGGAAGACGTGGGCGACCGGGTTCATGAAGAGGTTTGGGCTGCTGCTGCTGTCGGAGACTAGTACCAAGGATGATAATAACGAGGATGGGGGAGGAGAGTATTGGGAGGAGGGAGGAGAGGGAGTGGAGGAGGAAGGGAGGCGGGTTAGGAGGGAGGCAATGGGCAGGGACATGGGAAGGGCAGGAGTTGATTTGGGGGGTTGGGGAGGGGAGGGACGGCGAGAAGAGGGAGATGAGGGGGAGGAGGGGGATGAGGAGGATGAGGAGGCGGAGGAAGAGGAGGAGGGCGGGGATGGTGGTGGTGAGGGAGGGGGAGTGGATGGTGGCTTGGTCAGATTTGTGAATCTGCAGATGCGAGCGGCTGACCGTGCTGCTAGGCAGGTGCTGCACGAGACAGCAGGGGCAGGAGAAAGCTCAGGTGCAGCATTAGCGGGTACAGAAACGGGCAGGGAAGGAAGAAAAGGAGGGGCAGGAGGGGAAGGAGTGGGTGGAGGGGAAGGGGAAGCTGGAGGTGGTATGAGTAGCCCTGAGCCTGATTACAGGGATGCAGGGGAAGGGGGCTCTCCGAGGGTAAATAACCCTTGGTCTGCGGATATTCTGACAGAGCTGTTTGACGAAGAGGGGGTGACCCCAACTGGCGAAACTGCCCCAGGGAGTGGGGAGAGGGGCGTAGAGGGGGAAACTGAGGGGGCAGGGGAAGGGGAAAGGAGTGGGTGGGGAGGGAAAGAACTGGACATTGTGGGGACAGGGGGAGGCAAAAAGAGTGGGGAGAGAGGCGTAGATGGTGATGGTGATGGTGATGATGGTGATGGTGATGGTGATGGTGATGGTGGGCACAGGGGTCTGGCTGTTGAGCGGGAAAACCGAGGGTCAGCCAGAGAGGCATTCGACACGATTACACTGGATGAGCGGGAGGAAACAGAGGGAGGCGAGGTGGAGCCGTCCGTACTGGACGAGGGGGAGGAAGTAGAGGAAGTAGAGGAAGCAGGAGAGGTAGGTCACCCTGATGATGCCGATGCACGCAACAAGGGTGCGTCCTCTACCGTCCCAGCCACTGGTGAACCCCTCCTCCTCACCGCAACCGCGAGCATCTCATCTCCCTTCCCTATCATCCTCGCCCTTGCCGCTCCTAACCCCCTAGGCCCAGGTAGTTGCACCACGCCCCAATCCACAAAGGCCCCACTCTCTTCCCAAGCCCCGCAGCCCACAAACGCCCCCCCACCTGCACTCACCCCTCAACCCACAACCGCCCCACAGCCTGCACACACCAATCACAATCCACCCACAACTGCCCCAAACCGTTCTGAAACTCCCCACCAGGCCGCAAACACCCCAGACCTTCCGGGAGCTCCCGTCCGGAAAACAAGACTCCCCATTGGGTGGCAGCTAACAGGAGGCCAGAAGCGGGCCTTCTGCCTCGTCTTCCGGGCCGTGCCAAGCCTGCGCCAAATCTCCCTCGCCAAAGCTGTTCTGCAGGCTTGGGGGTTGAGCGTGTCCAGGGATACGGTGCGTAAGCTTGCGAAGCAATGTGATTGGTGGATCCGAATTCCGAGGGGGAAAGAGGAGGAGATGCGGAATAGGAAGAGGACGGCGAGGAGGGGGAAGGGGGTGGGGAAGTGTGCGAAGGTTGAAGAGGCTCTTGGGAGGTGGATTGAGGAGATAGGTGCGGAAGATCTGGTGAGGAGGGGGAGGATTGAGAAGGGGATTCTGGTGCTGAAAGGGAAGGAGAGGGGGCACTCTGAGAATTCTCAGAAATCTCTCACAAATGGGCAGGGGAGAGGTGGCTCTTCGTCTGTGTTTCTGACGCTAGAGATGATTGTTGACATGGCTAAGAAGCTAGGACCGTCCCTGGGTGCGCCTCCTGGCTTTAAGTATGGAGAAACGAAGAAGAAAAAAAAGAAGGGAAACAACTGGGTACGGAAGTTTATTGAGCGGTATAAGGCGAGGAAGAGAAAGGAGGAGGAGGAGCGCGGGGAAATAGGAGCAGGGGAAGAAGGAGGGAGGTGGGGGAAAGGCAAGGGAGAGGGGGAGGGGGAGGAGGAATGGTCGGATGGGAAGTATTGTGATGATGAGGAGGGAGGGGAAGAGGAGGAAGAGAGTGAGGATGGGGACAGCAGCGATGATGACTATAACGAGGATGAGAGTGGGGCAGATGATGATGTGGTGGGGGGTGGGGGAGGAGGAGGGGAGGAGATCGGAGGAGGAGGAGGAGGAGGAGGAGGAGGAGGAGGAGGAGGAGGAGGAGGAGGAGGAGGAGGAGGAGGAGGAGGAGGAGGAGGAGGAGGAGGAGGAGGAGGAGGAGGAGGAGGAGGAGGAGGAGGAGGTGGAGTGGGGCGGAAGAGAGGGCGGTGCCAGGAGAGGGGAGGGCAGGAATGGGAGCAGGAGAGAGGAGGAAGAAGAGGGAGAGCTGGTGCAGGGAGAGGTGGTGCAGGGAGAGCTGGTGCAGCTGGAATCACCTCTGCTGCACTTCCAGGGATCACCCAAGCTTTCGGCGATCCAGGAGAAGAGGGAGAAGAGGGAGAATCGGACCCGTATGCATTGGAGAAGTGGGCGGATGATCCCGACGTCTCTAGCCTCATGCGGAGCTTCTTCGGGGCGGACTGGCTCACCAAGTATCCCAAGCACAATCATAGAGCTGCTGCTGCTGATCGTGTGGATTGTGCTGCTGCTGCTGCTGCTGCTAATCGTGCGGATCGTGCTGCTGCTGCTGTTGCTGCTGCTGCTGATAGTGCGGATTGTGCTGCTGCTGCTGCTGCTGCTCGTGCCAGGATTGCCAGGTTGTCGGGGAGTGTCTGGGACAGGGACCCCGCCGCTGATTACTCTACTCCCTTCGCCTTCCCTCACCCCGGCTCCTCTCAAAGCATGCCTCCTCCAGATTCATCCACACACCACCCAGGAGCGTCGGGTGCTGGTGGTTCATGGGCAGGCGGGCTCACAGGGGGGCTCACAGGGGGACTCACAGGGGGGCTCACAGGGGGGCTCACAGGGGCAGGGGGGCTCACAGGGGGGCTCACAGGGGGGCCCACAGGGGGGCTCACAGGGGGGCTCACAGGGGGGCTCACAGGGGGGCTCACAGGGGGGCTCACAGGGGGGCTCACAGGGGGGCTCACGGGGGGGCTCACAGGGGCAGGGGGGCTCACAGGGGGGCTCACAGGGGGCCTCACCACCGGTACTCGTTCCGCGCACCTCAGCACATCTTTACCCCAGCACATACCACTGGGTGGCGGCCGTGGGACGTGGGCGGGAGGGCTCACCGGCCCCCGTGCTGCGTACTTCGATTCCCCTTCACCGCTGCCCTCATCTGCTGCAACTACATTGGCCTCTGCTCTTGCTGGTCACTGCGTCACAAGAAGCCAGGCGGCAGCAGCAGCAGCAGGCAATGCATCCCCTGGTCTGAGCTCGCAGCAGCTGATTCTTCCCCGCCTACCGGTGGGCTTGTCCCCGCAACACACGGGCCGAGCACCGCAACCCCTGCCTCCAGCTTCTGCCGTTGCTGCTCAGACCCAGCCTGCCGCTTCGATTCCTGCTGCTGCACCTGCTGCTGCTTCGCGTGCTGCTCCTACAGCTGTTGTCCCTGCAGCAGGAGGGATTGCTGAAACTGCTGCGCTGCTTGCAGCACTTGGGGTTGGTGGTGCTGTTGCTGGTGCTGGTGCTGGTGCCGGATTTGGTAACGCCGGTTTGCTGGGTTTACTGGCAGGTGTGAATCCACGGCAAGCCCAAGCACCAGGTAACCCGCTGGTGCAACTGCTTGCACTCTTGGCCGCACAGGGAGCAGGAGGAGGGGGTGCTAGTGGTGGTGGTGGTGTTGCTGCTGGTGCTGGTGCTGGGTTTGGTAATGCAGGTCTCCTTGGGTTACTACTAGCAGGTGTGAATTCTGCTCAAGCCCAAGCCCAAGCCCAAGCCCAGGGTAACCAACTGCTTGCACTCCTTGCACTCTTGGCTGCAGCTGGGAGGGGGGCGGGATCCGCATTGGGAGGTGCTGGAAGGGAAGTCGGATCCTTTCTAGGAGGAGCAGGAGCGGCAGGAGGGGCAGGAGTGGCGGGAGTGGCAGGAGGGGTAGGAGCGGCAGGAGGAGGAGGAGGAGGAGGAGGTATGGGAGGGGGAGGTGAGGGGATGGTTAGTGAAAGAGAGGGGAGGATGGAGAGGAGGGCGCCAGAGAGGGAGGGACGGAGCGGGGAGAGCGGAGAGAGCGCGAGAGAGAGGAAGCGAAGAAAGGCGGAGGAATGGGCTCTGAGGCGAGCGGAGAAGAGACAGGGTGAGAGGGCGGAGAAGTTGTTTGGTAGACGAGGTGCGTCTTTTGAGAACACGTGGAATGTGCTGGTCGCTGGGAGGGGAGGGGAAATTGGGGAACAGGAGGGAGAGAGAGTCAGAGAGACAGGTGAGGGAGGGAGGAGTGGGGGAGAGGTGGGCGGCAGAACCCGGCCGGCAGAAGTGATTCAGCTTTCGGGATGTGAGAAAGAAGAGGGAGGGAGTGAGAATGAGAGTGAGCATGAGAGTGAGAGTGAGAGTAAAGGGGGATCAGATGATGATGTGGTAGAGGTGAGGACTAGGGGAGAGAGCAAAGGGGGGACGAGGGATCGAGACGGAGGGAGGAGGGGAGGAAAGAAGCGAGGGAGAGAGGAGAGAAGAAGAGGGTGTGGGAAAGGAGATAGAAAGCAAGAGAGGAAGGAAGGGCGGAAGGACGGGAGGGAAAGTAGCCGAGCTCGAATCACCACCCACTCCAGTGCCACCACCGATAACGATGGTTCTAGTGAGGAAGAGGACGAGGAGGAGGAGGAGGAGGAGGAGGAGGAGGAGGAGGAGGAGGAGGAGGAGGAGGAGGAGGAGGAGGAGGAGGAGGAGGAGGAGGAGGAGGGAGCAGGTTTGCGATTCTCTGCATTGAACAGGGCAGCAGTGGCGGGTTCTTCTTCCCTTGGCAGCAACCCGGGCCAGGCGTTTGCTCTGATGACGCAGGCCGCCTCGCAGGCTGCATCTGGGGCGGACTTGCCTCTCTATGCTGGCTTCAGTACTGCCTCTACTGCTGGGGTACAGACTGTTGCATGCTTCGGTGCTCCAGGCTTTAATGCCCCAGGCTTCAATGCTGCAGGTACCTCCAATTCGGGTCAAATTTCTTTGCAGCAGCACCTGCAACAACAACAACAGCCGCAGCCGCAGCCGCAGCAGCAGCGACAGCAGCTTCTGCAGCAGCGGCTACCGCAGCAGCAGCAGCAGCAGCAGCCGAAGCAGAAACAGCCACAGCAGAAGCGACAGCAACAGCAACAGCAACAGCAGAAGCTGCTGCTGGTGGAGCAGCAGCAGCAGCAGCAGCAGCAGCAGCAAGGTGCGTCTGGTTGCAGAGCGTCCCTTCTCCAACAGCTAGAGAAGATGCACCTGCAGCAGCTGAACCACATAGCTTATCTGCAGTACCAGCTGCAGCCGCTGCAGCATCAGCAGCACTGGCAGCGGGCGCATCTAGAGCAGCGCTTGCAGGAGGCCCAGCGGTTCGCAGCGCAACAAGTGAGAGAGATGCAGCAGCTTAGGGTCAAATCGAGAAGCCGTAACAGCCGCAGCAGCAGCTGAAGCCGGCACAGCAGCAGCTGTAGCAGCAAGGTAGGAAGACATTGGGGGTTGTTCCACCAGCCATGAATTCAGCTCCTTCAAATAGTTTTCGTCCAACTTACAGAAACTGTTTTGCGGGATTCCTTAGCCTAACGAGTAAATATTTCTTGAATCTGTACGAACTATGGTTGTAGTAGGGCACTCTGCAGGGGGAAGCGATCCCCACCCTCCCTCCCCCCCCCGCTCTCCACCCCCCCTCCCTCCCCGCTCTCCACCCCCCTCCTCCCTGTTTCCTTGCTAGCCGAATTCGTAGCGGCCGATTCCTTCTGGTAACGGGTTTTTTTTTGGGGATTCTGTCTGTTAACGGGTTATTTAGAGGCGATTCCGTCCGCTTCCGGAATACCCTGTGGCTTAGCGAGAGGCCTGGCCACGACAGCTGCTTCAAGTGCTGCCTCTGCCCCTTCTCCTGCCCCTTCCCCTGCTGCAGCCTCAAATGCTGGTCCTGCTGCTGGTAGTGCGACAACCTCAGTCACTATGGTTGCTTCTGCTGCTGCAACTACTCCTGCTGCTGCTCCTGCTACTGCTGCTGCTCCTGCTGCTGCATCTGCTACCGCAGCTGCTTTGACTGCTACTCCTGCCCCTGCCGCTGCTGCTGGTGCTGCTGCTGCAGCAGCAGCCTTCTGTGCTGCTTCCTCTTCTGCTGGTAGTTCGGCAATCACAGTCACAGTGGCTGCTGCTGCTGCTCCTGGTATTGCTGCCACCACTCCTGCTTCTGCTGCTGCAGTGGCTGCTCCTGCTGGCACAACTTGTTTTGCTCCAAAGCCTGCTGCTGAAACACCTCCCACCACTTCTGCCACTGTGTCGGCCCCCTCAATGTCTGTTCTAATCGCTGTGGCTTTTGCCACAGCTGCAGCTGCTGCTGCCGCATCGCCTGAATTGTCGAAGGATGGAATCACAGTTGCTACAGCTGCACCTGTAGCCGCTACAACTGCACCTGTAGCAGCTGCAGCCGAATCTCCTGAATTGTCAGAGGCTGGGATCACAGCTGCTAAGGTTGATGCGGTTGAAATCACCCTCAGTAAGATTTTGAACGAAAGGTTTCTGACACACCTGCTGTTGCTACAGCCGCTGGGGGTGTGCCTGCAGCTGCTACAGCCAGTGAGGATGTGCCTATAGCTGCTTCAGCTGATGGGGATGTGGCTGTAGCTGCTACGGCTGATGGAACAAGAGATGTGACAGCAGCGACTGATGATGGGTCAAGGGATGCTGCTCCTGATGGGGATGTGCCTGTAACTTCCATAGATTCTAAGGATGTGGCTGCAGCTGCAAGACTCGATGGTGCTACGGGTGAGTGACGGTGCTACAGATGACGGGGGAAAGAGGCACTTCACCTGGGCATGTGGGCCCCACAGAACACGGGCCACAGGATGACATGGCTGTAGATGGAGGCCGAGAGGGCGCTGCAGGCGATGGTGATGGCGATGGTGCTACGGATTATGGGACAAAGGATGCTACAGTCGCCACAGATGATGGGACAAAGGATGCTACAGCCGCTACTGATGATGGGAGAAGAGACACTGCGCCTGGGCATGTTGGCCGTGCAGGACACGCGGCACAGGATGCCATGGCTGTTGACGGAGGTGGAGAGGGCGCTACAGACGATGCTGCTATGGATGATGGTGCTGCTGCTGATGGCGATGGTGCTACAGGCGATTGGGCTACGGGCGATGGTGCTACAAATGATGTGGCAACAGATGATGGGGCAAGGGATGCTGCAGCCGGTGCAGGTGATGGCACAAGAGGCACTGCATCGGGGCATGTTGGACGGCCTGCAGAACACGGGGCAAGGGATGGCACAAGAGGCACTGCGCCTGGGCATGTTGGCCGTGCAGAACACGCGGCACAGGGTGGCATGGCTGTAGATGGAGGTGTTGAGGGTGCTACAACCGATGGTGCTACTGGTGATGATGCTGCAGATGGTGGTGCGGCTATGGATGGTGGCACTGAAGACGCTGCTACAAATGGTGGGGTTATGGATGACGCTGCTACAGATGGTGGGGTTATGGATGACGCTGCTACAGATGGTGGGGTTATGGATGACGCTGCTACAGATGGTGGGGTTATGGATGACGCTGCTACAGATGGTGGGGTGGTAAATTACGCTGCTACAGGTGGTGGGACTGTAAATGATGCTGCTACATGTAGTAGGGCTGTAAATGACGCTACTATGGATGGCCGTTGACCCAAATTGCGGGATTTTCATATTTGGTTATAAATAATTAATAGGCTCTCGCGAGTGTTGCAGCATAAGGTTAGAAGTACCGAGGGCGTTTTGGGACTTCCGAGATGAAGGTTGATTGAGTTTGAGACAATATGGCACTGCATTGCACATGTAGGTGCAGATTTCATTTTGTTCATCCGAATTTGTTACTAAGTCCCACAACCAACAAGCCCCAGGTTTCGTCGAGTCAACTAAGTCCTTACCCAAGCCTCGTTGGCTTACACACGTGTCGAAACCGTGGCAGGCAACGATGATTGGCCACCGCGTAAAGGGCTGGGATTGCTCCGGGATTGGGGGAAATTGGCGCGGGGCGGCAGGGGTAGGCTAGGCCGAGCCCCGGCTAAAATTTCCGTAACCCAAGTAGGTAGGTTGCTCTTCTTTATTTTCTTGCTTGGGATGGGGGATGTGTGTCCGAGCTCTGGGACTGGGAGTCTGTTTCACCTCAGAGGCAGCTGTTGCTCCTCCAACACCTCAGAGCTTTGAACGGCTCGCTGCCCTTCGCTGCTTATTATTCGCTAGTGAAAACATCGTCTATCCGCCGCATTTCACGCCACAGCCCGTCATTCCCAGCGCCCCCGCATTTCCCGCCAACCCGCGCATTCCCACAACAACCCGCCGCGCCCTCCCGCTACAGCCCACCGCGCCTTCCCACTACAACCTCTCGCGCATCCTCGCTACAACCCCAACGCATCCCCGCCACAACCCGCGCATTCCCGCCACAACTCGCGCATTCCCGCCACAACCCGCGGATTCCCCGCTACAACCCGCGCCTTCCCGCGCTACAGCCCGCGTCTCGAAGATGAGGACGAGTCGCGACGGCATGGCCGCGGTGGCGCTTCTGTCCGTGCTGACGTCATGGGGCGTGTTGGTTGCTCCGTTCGTGGCGCAGGTTCAGGGGCAGACGATTGACAGCAGCCAGTGTGAGTGTAACGAGTGAAGCCAGTGTGAGTGTAACGAGTGAAGCCAGTGTGAGTGTAACGAGTGAAGCCAGTGTGAGTGTAACGAGTGAAGCCAGTGTGAGTGTAACGAGTGAAGCCAGTGTGAGTGTAATGGGAGGTAATCCGTCCTTCCTTGACATGCTGACGTGTACGCGCATCGCCCCCTCCCCTTTTGTTCCTTGCACAGACCCCCTAAACCAGAATCCCCCGCCCCCCTCTCCCCTCCCTCCCCCCCGGTCTTTCCCCCCTTCCCCCCCCCCGCCCCCCCCCTCCCCTTTTCCCTCGCCCTTCCCCCCACCCTTTTCCGCCACCCCCATGATTTGTGCCCCAGAACACACAAGAATTCTAAACATTGTCAAATAATGCACTCTTCTTCCCCCATCCCTACCGACCTCATGCCACGTCATCACCTTGGCGTGTCCACGTCATGCTGACGTCAGTGCAAGCACTATGGGACATGCAGACGTCATGGGGGCGGACTTTCGACCAATGGGACACCGGCGGTGACTGCAACGCTGCTGACGGCATATCTTGCAACTCACAGGGCATGGTGACGTGGCTGTAAGTGATGCTGACGTGGATACATGCATGCATGGACACACACACACACACACACACACACACACACACACACACACATGCGCGCGAGTGCAGGAACAGAGAAACACACACACACACACTAGCAAACATACATACATACACACGCACGCACACCCACAAGCACACATGCGTGCACACACGCATGCACACACGCATGCACATGCTCTGCACTATCCGTGTCGTCGCCAACACCCCACCCCACCTGGTGCTCTTTTCAATCCAAGGGGCGCTTTTCTAGTTCTAGTCGGATCTGAAGCCACCTGATTGACACGCCACCCGTCTAATTCGTGCGCTCCCACCTGCCCCTGCTCGCCCATCAGGGAGCTGAACCAGTTGAATCTGGGAGGGCCTCTCCCCGACACCATTGGTGACTTGGTCGATCTCTCACACATGTGAGTGCTGGCGCTGTTGCTGCTGCTGCTGCTGCGTTTGTTCGAGGCGCCTCAAAAGCCCTTTCAGTGTCTAACCTCCCTGTCCTTGCCTTTCACTCACTGTCTCTCTCCTTCCTTCTCTGCGCGCATGTGGGCATGTGGGCATGCATGTGGGCATGTGGGCATGCATGTGTGCATGTGGGCATGCATGTGGGCATGTGGGCATGCATGTGGGCATGTGGGCATATGGGCATGCATGTGTGCATGTGGGCATGCATGTGGGCATGTGGGCATGCATGTGGGCATGTGGGCATGCATGTGGGCATGTGGGCATGCATGTGGGCATGTGGGCATGCATGTGGGCATGTGGGCATGCATGTGGGCATGTGGGCATGCATGTGGGCATGTGGGCATGCATGTGGGCATGTGGGCATGCATGTGGGCATGTGGGCATGCATGTGGGCATGTGGGCATGCATGTGTGCATGTGTGCATGTGTGCATGTGGGCATGCATGTGGGCATGTGGGCATGCATGTGGGCATGTGGGCATGCATGTGGGCATGTGGGCATGCATGTGTGCATGTGTGCATGTGTGCATGTGGGCATGCATGTGGGCATGTGGGCATGCATGTGGGCATGTGGGCATGCATGTGGACATGTGGGCATGCATGTGGGCATGTGGGCATGCATGTGGGCATGTGGGCATGCATGTGGGCATGTGGGCATGCATGTGTGCATGTGTGCATGTGTGCATGCATGTGGGCATGTGGGCATGTGGGAATGTGGGCATGTGGACAGGCTGTTGGATTCGAACAGCATCACCGGCACCCTTCCTTCCACCATTGGCCGGCTCACTGCCCTCACCTGGTTGTGAGTCCTTTGTGCTTCAATAGGTGCATGTGCTCTTAGCATGCAACCAGGTCCGTCTAGTTTTAAGGCGCCTCAAAACCTGACTCCTATCACGCAGTTTTGAGGCGCCTAAAAAATAGGCTCCTATCACGCGGTTTTGAGGCGCCTCAAAAGCAGACTCCTATCACGCGGTTTTGAGGCGCCTCAAAAGCAGACTCCTATCACTCGGTTTTGAGGCACCTAAAGAATAGGTGCATGCGCTCTTAGCATGCGACCAGTTCCATCTGCTGCAACAGCATCAGGGGCAGCATTCCACACACCATCACGAACAGCCGGAGCACACAAAAGATCATTGCCTGCTCTTGACCCCCCACGCCCTCCCCCCTGTCGGTCCCCCTGAGCATTCCACACACCATCACGAACAGCCTGAGCATACAAGAGACCATTTCCTGCTCTTAACTCTCCCCATTCCACCCTCTTCGTTCTCTCCTCTGAAAGCCTCACCACCTCCATCTACTGCAACAGCATCACTGAGCTGGCAGGCTGGCCAACTGGCAGGCTGGCAAACTGGCAGGCTGGCAAACTGGCAGGCTGGCAAACTGGCAGGCTGGCCAACTGGCAGGCTGGCCAACTGGCAGGCTGGCAAACCGGCAGGCTGGCAAACTGGCAGGCTGGCAAACTGGCAAGCTGGCAAACTGGCAGGCTGGCAAACTGGCAGGCTGGCAAACCGGCAGGCTAGCAAACTGGCAGGCTGACAACTGGCAGGCTGGCAAACTGGCAGTCTGGCAAACTGGCAGGCTGGCAAACTGGCAGGCTGGCCAACTGGCAGGCTGGCAAACAGGCAGGCTGGCAAACTGGCAGGCTGGCCAACTGGCAGGCTGGCAAACCGGCACTCCTAAGACCCCTTCCACCTCCCCTTCCACCTCCTTCTCCCACCTCCCCCTCTCTCCCCTCTGTCTGTCTCCCCCTGTGTATGACTCACCAGCTCCATCTGCTGCAACAGCATCACAGGCAGCATTCCAGACACTATCACCGACATGGTTGGCTTGAGAGACGTGTGAGTCTGGAGAGTCAAACGAGTCTGCTGAGTTTCCTCTCAACCTTCCACTCCTCCCTTTTGTCTGTTGAAGCAACCGTCCACTCCTCCCCTTTGTCTGCTGAAGCAACCTTTCACTCCTCCCCTTTCTTTGTTTTTTTCTGCTTGTTTGTCCTCAATCTTTTAATTTCGTTTCCCCACACCATCCCTTTTCTCCTCCCTCTCCCGAATCATCTCCCTCTTGTCTCCCATACACCCTCCCTTCCTCACCCCCTCCCTTCCTCACCCCCTCCCTTCCTCACACCCTCCCTTCCTCACCCCTCCCTCCCCTTCCTCCCCCCCCCTCCTCACCCCTCCCTTCCTCACCCCCCTCCTTCCCTCACCCCTCCCTTCCTCACCCCTCCCTTCCTCACCCCCTCCCTTCCTCACCCTCCCCTTCCTCACCCCTCCTTCCCCCCCCCCCTCCTCCACCCCCCACCTTCCTCCCCCTCCCTTCCTCACCCCCTCCCTTCCTCACACCCCTCCCTTCCTCCACCCCCTCCCTTCCTCACCCCCTCCTTCCTCACCCCCTCCCTTCCTCACCCCTCCCTTCCTCAACCCCCCCTTCCTCACCCCCTCCCTTCCTCACCCCCCTCCCTTCCTCACCCCCTCCCTTCCTCACCCCCTCCCTTCCTCCACCCCCTCCCTTCCTCACCCCCCTCCCTTCCTCACCCCCTCCCTTCCTCACCCCTCCCTTCCTCCCCCCTCCTCCTCACCCTCCCTTCCTCACACCCCTCCCTTCCTCACCCCTCCTCCTCCCCCCTCCCTTCCCTCACCCCCTCCCTTCCTCACACCCCTCCCTTCCTCAACCCCTCCCTTCCTCACCCCCTCCCTTCCTCACCCCCCCTCCTCTCCTCCCACCCCCCCCCCCCTCCCTTCCTCTCACCCCTCCCTTCCTCACCCCCCTCCCTCCCTTCCTCACCCCTCCTTCCTCACCCCCTCCCTTCCTCACCCCCTCCCTTTCCTCACCCTCCCTTCCCCCCCCCCTTCCTCACCCCCTCCCTTCCTCACCCCCTCCCTTCCTCACCCCTCCTTCCTCACCCCCCTCCCTTCCTCCCCCTCCCTTCCTCACACCCTCCCCTTCCTCACCCCCCTCCCTTCCTCACTCCCTCCCTTCCTCACCCCCTCCCTTCCTCCACACCCTCCCTTCCTCACCCTCCTTCCTCACCCCCTCCCTTCCTACCCCCTCCTTCCTCACCCCTCCCTTCTCACCCCTCCCTTCCTCACCCCCTCCCTTCCTCACCCCTCCCTTCCTCACCCCCTCCCTTCCTCACCCCCTCCCTTCCTCACCCCTCCTTCCTCACCCCCTCCCTTCCTCACCCCTCCCTTCCTCACCCCCCCCTCCCCTTCCTCACCCCCTCCCTTCCTCACCCCCTCCCTTCCTCACCCCTCCCCTTCCTCACACCCTCCCTTCCTCACCCCCTCCCTTCCTCACCCCCTCCCTTCCTCACACCTCCCTTCCTCACCCCTCCTTCCTCACCCCTCCCTTCCTCACCCCTCCCTTCCTCACCCCTCCCTTCCTCACCCTCCCTTCCTCACACCTCCCTTCCTCACCCCCTCCCTTCCTCACCCCCTCCCTTCCTCACCCCCTCCCTTCCTCACCCCCTCCCTTCCTCACACCCTCCCTTCCTCACCCCTCCTTCCTCACCCCTCCCTTCCTCACCCCTCCCTTCCTCACCCTCCCTTCCTCACCCCCTCCTTCCTCACCCCTCCCTTCCTCACACCCTCCCTTCCTCACCCCTCCTTCCTCACCCCCCTTCCTCACCCCCTCCTTCCTCACCCCCTCCCTTCCTCACCCTCCCTTCCTCACCCCCTCCCTTCCTCACCCCCTCCCTTCCTCACCCTCCCTTCCTCACACCCCTCCCTTCCTCACCCCCTCCCTTCCTCACCCCCTCCTTCCTCACCCCCTCCCTTCCTCACCCCTCCTTCCTCACCCCTCCCTTCCTCACCCCCTCCCTTCCTCACCCCCTCCTTCCTCACCCCCTCCCTTCCTCACCCTCCCTTCCTCACCCCTCCCTTCCTCACCCCCTTCCTCACCCCTC